GCCTCTCCTCCACCCCCAAAAGGTCAGAGAGGGAATCGCCACCCCCGGCCAGGGCGTTTTGCTCCCCACAACCCCTCATCACTCACCTGCCGGCTGCGCTTGGATGCGTCCTTGGCCGATCGCTGCAGCTTCCCCTTCTCCATGGCACTAAAATTGGGGTGGAAAGGGAAAAAGGCAGCTCAGAAAGGCCAGGGAGGGGGTCCCACCCAACAGCCCCGTTTCAGGGTGTTTTTGCCCCGATGGGGTGGCAGGGCTCACCTCAGCCGTCGCTGCAGGGCCACTTGCCGCCGCAGCCAGCAGTAGCGGATGAGATAGACGAGGGCCACCACCACGGCCACCAGCAGCAGAGCCCCGCCGATGATGGAGCCCAGGACGACACCGTAGCGAGTGGGCACTGCAGGGACACCAGTGCCCCATCAGCCTCCCCAGCTGGAGTGGGGAAACTGAGGCAGGGAGGGGACCGCCAGTGCCATACCTTTCTCAAAGACGTAGAGCGTGACCTGGGAGGACTTGCCCACGATGTCAGGGGGGTTCTTGACATCGCAGGTGAAGGTGCCGTTGTCGGTGTAGTCCAGGTTGTGGATAACGATGGAGCCGTCCTTGCGGCGGGGGTTGCCCACCCACTCCATCCGCTCCTTGAAGCTGCCCACGTCATCGATGTAGGGCTGACCCTTGGCATAGTGGAATATCTAGCGATGGGGACAGACACATGGACGTCGGGGTCACGGTGGCTCTGGCCACAGCAGGGCCACCCCGCGCCCCAAAGCGGAGCGGGTGCTTACGGAGATGCTGTCGCGGGAACCCTCGGCTTGGAAGTGCCAGGTGATGGAGATGTCCTCGGAGATCCACTCACTGGACCAGAAGCTGCAGGAGAGGGTGACGTGGGAGCCAACGGTGCCGTACACCTCCCGCTGCGTGTACACGTGGATGGATGACGCCGGGGACGGCCCTGCCAGGGGGCAGAAACCCGTCAGTCCCACGGGGGACCCCGGCACGGGGACAGCGCCCACCACCAGGGCTGCCGGCCGGTCTGTGCCCCCGCATCAGCCCCGTGCCGCCACCAAAGGGATTTTGTTGGCCCTGGAGAAAGCACAAAGGCTGGTGGGGGACAACGGCTCTTTGTGCCACTGCAGGTGCCTTTATGGGGACCCTCCGCCCTGGCATCCCCATGGATGGCTCCAAGGGGACCGTATCCCGTTGGCAGCTGATCCCCGAGGACAACGGCAGGGCCGGGTCCGGCATCCAGCACCCCTCTCCCGTCCCCAGGGAGGTGGCTGGTGCCAGTACTCTCCTTGTAGCCCGGTGACAGGAATCACGGCAGGCAGCAGATACATCCCTGGAGCATTGCCACCACCGGTGAGAGTCCCAAAATCAGACGTGTGGGTGGCTGCCAGCCCCACGGCTGCCTCACAGGGATCTGGAGCCCCCTGGTACCCCCCCCAGCATCCAGGATCAGGATTTTGGCACCAGGATCCCTGGTTCCCCA